AGGAGACGAGGCAAGCGATAAGGACGGTGACAATCAGCTGTGACGGTGAAGGCACGTTGCCTGGCATCATCAGATGTCATTGCTCCTCCAGATGCCTTACAACCATCCAGATCGCGACAATCACGATGGCGTGCAGAGGAAAATAATTCTGAAGGCTTGACTTTTTGACGACGTTCAGCGATCATTGCGCGCAGTTTGAGGGCACGTTCGTTAAGACCCAGAGTAGTGAAGCCAAGAAATGAGGATTGTGGGGAAGTGGCACAAACAACAGGCGGACGACTTGTGATATCACAGGCAACGATTCCGGCCATTAATTACTGATTCAACGAGTCATTCAGCTCAACACTGACTCATATCACTCGCTGATCACCAGCTGATAAGCGATCAGTCACTTCAGCCAACATTATATCATTGAGATGATATAATAGTATAATATACAGGATAATATCAACACTTCAATTCAAGGATTTGGCATTTGACTGAACATGATCGTCCGTCTCTGATACATGCCGTTATATCTGGATGATGATTCTCAGACCAGTGCAGCAATCTATTTCTAATAAGAGTTCAGAAAATACGATTGGCGTCAACGGCGTCAACAAACTCGTTTGAATTTCGCTCGAATAACAGTTCAAGAAACTCGTTTCGCTCCTTCAATAAACACAAAATAATAATTTAAGTGTTAAATCACGCATATGCTAATCACATAATATCAGTGAGAAGTTGCTCTGTAACACGAGATCTTTTCTATCCAAGTGTATGCACACATTCGCGCATTTAACAATACCGCAAGCGTGAAAACATAAAAAAGTACCGAGGAACACTAAAACTATGCGCAATATCTAGAAGGCAACTAGTGAATCCTAGACGAACAAAGTCTCTTTATTTTCTAGAAAGAGTAAAGGGTACTTATGAAGAAGTACAATATCAACATTTTGCCTACGAATCATCCAAAGGAAGGGATAAAAATTACTTAATGCTAATTACAGCAAGTCAACTCAAATTCATTTACAAATATTTAAATTCATTATGGTTGCTAAGAACCTTTCAGTGAAAAATGTAGAAAATGAAACGCAGCTGAGAATTACTGTCAAATAGCGGAAAAATCAGATACAGTTCAAATACAAAAGTTTCTCTGCTCAGTTCACCAACCACCCTTACAATAGAACGATAATAATGATAATAATACTAATAATACTTTCGTACTGGTCATTTAATAAAACAAACAATATTCACGACAAGATGACATGTCTAATGATCAGTAAACCGTCTGTCACCTATTCAAATAAAGCTAAGTTCAAGCTCAAGTATCCGTAGATGTCTGAACAAATAAATTCGATAAATTCGATTTGGAATACCAAGCAGATGAGAATAACTTCTGATTGACAAACAGATGAATGAACAGAATTAGCGGATGTCGTTGATTTAAGAG